CCTCAGAGAACAGGTCGCCTCAGAGAATAGGTCACCATAGAGAACAGGTCACCTCAGAGAACAGGTCGCCTCAGAGAACAGGTCACCTCAGAGAAAAGATCGCCTCAGAGAACAGGTCGCCTCAGATAACAGGTTGTCTCAGAGAACAGGACACCTCAGAGAACAGGTCGCCTCAGATAACAGGTCGTCTCAGAAAACAGGTCGCCTCAGAGAACAGGTCGCCTCAGAGAACAGATCACCTCAGAGAACAGGTCGCCTCAGAGAACAGGTCGCCTCAGAGAACAGGTCACCTCAGAGAACAGGTCACCTCAGAGAACAGGTCACCTCAGAGAAAAGATCACCTCAGATAACAGGTCGTCTCAGAGAACAGGACACCTCAGAAGACAGGTCACCTCAGATAACAGATCACCTCAGAGAACAGGTCACCTCAGAGAACAGATCACCTCAGAGAACAGGTCACCTCAGAGAACAGGTCACCTCAGAGAACAGGTCGCCTCAGAGAACAGGTCACCTCAGAGAACAGATCACCTCAGAGAACAGATCACCTCAGAGAACAGGTCACCTCAGAGAACAGATCACCTCAGAGAACAGGACTTGGCATGGAAAGCAGCTGCTTCTGCTGCCTCTGCTGCTAGCTGTCTGAACGCAGCATTAGAGGACATCCAACACATGGGGTTGGTTTCTGTTCACCTGCCAGCTGTGTTTGCTCCATTATTAATCTGTCTGTTTGGTTTGAATGAACCCTGATGGATGCTTTTAGAAGAAGCGTAGCTAATAATATAAATACAAAATGCAACCCACCATGCAGCCTCTTTTCTCAGCCCTGTGTATTATTGTCACTAGAACTTTGTTAGCCAGACGCATTTGCTTTACAAACACATTTCAGAGCCTTAGTACTTTTTTATTGCGTTTTGACCATTTCATATAGAGTGTTGCTGGTGAAGATTCTCAGTCATCCAGGTCAGAGTCATAACAAAAAAGTTATAAAAATCAATCCACTGTACTTTGTTTCCAAGTTTGAAGATG